TCACTAACGGGGGTGATATAAACAAAGAATATTCACCTACCTTCCAGCAAGCTTTTTTTGTGATATCACAATTACGAGTTTAGGGAATAGATGTACTGGTAAATTTGTAATAGTTAGTGGGAGCGAGGACGATGATGAAAATAAAACAAGAATATTGTTTAAGTAGACAAACTTTTATTTCTCAATCATTAATTCTATCTTCTCATATTAGAGTTACCCTAAAGAGAAATAATTACAGTAACAAATAAAAATAATGAAGGTCACATGCTTAGAATAATCAGGCACCACTAAAATACAAAAATCTCGAAGTTTTGAATACCTAAGTTTATAGGTTTAGAGAAAAAACAATGTATGAAAAGCTTCAACCAGGCATTAAAACTAAATTAAATCATCCCCATCACAATTACAGTATTCCAATAGTACCCAATTATTCTAAAACATGACTGAACCTGAGATATTTTAAAGGAGGTGATTCGTGAGGCTTTCCACTTAAGAAATGCTTTTTATTAGGTACATGTTATAAAAATGAAACGAATAAATGTAACAAGAACAATGATATTTATGAAACTACATTTAAAAGTTACAAAACTATTATTGCTTTTTAATTAATGAGAACATGATCAAAATACAAGGTTGTTGAATGTTTTGGTAACTTTACTAACAAAAGATTCGTCGATTGATTTAAACTTACATTAAAAAGAAATTGATTGTTTAAGGCACATACGAAAAGGCGAAGACTAAAATTAACAACTTTCAACAAGTTAAACAGTAAATTAAAGTGACAACAAATACTTTAAATACATGAGATATCCACTTATAAAAATATACATTTCTTTTTTTTTGTGAACAACTATTTTTTTTTACAAAATAAAATATACTGTGTACTATGATTTGATCTTTTCAAAGCAGCTCAGGTCAGGGGAAGTTAGCTTGGCATCCTTTAAATAGTCACACTGTAGGGCTTGATTGGCAGTTATGCGTTCCTCGGGGTTGTAATTGAGCAGAAGCTATGTAAAAATAAAAAAAAAAATTGAAATCAAAAAACTACAGAATAAGACTACAGCAGGTGGGCCCAGTATCAAACCGGTGTCCCTCTGAAGGCTAAAATAGAAATGAAATAAAAACTTACAATGATAAAATTTTCACCCTCATCACTCAAATCAGGGACGATTGTTTTCATACCCTTTTGGGGCCATACAGGAAATGTGGGCTTATAATCAGGCAGTTTGCTGATCCCTGGCCATATATTTTCATCAGGGGTACCTAATGCTCTAAATATTTTATAAAGCTGATCAATCTCGGAATCGCCAGGGAATACCGCCCGTCTGGTAAGCTAAAAGTGTAATATTTTCACTAAAAATAGTTCAAGATTTAAATCGCGTTGTATTGGGTACCATTTCGGCCATAATACATCCAACACTCCAAATATCTACACCTGTGCAGTAAATTTTAGCTCCTAATAAAAGTTCAGGAGCCCTGTACCATAAAGTTACAACTTCATGTGTGTAAGTTCGTACAGGCAGCGAAAACGAACGAGATAATCCAAAGTCAGCTAATTTAATGTGACCCTCTTTATCTAGCAACAAATTTTGTGGCTTTAAATCGCGATGCAAGATAGTATGAGAGTGCAAGTATGCAATTCCCTCCAATATTTGCCTTACATAATTCTAAAAGATGAAAACAGATGTAAGAGTTACATAAAGTTCCTGAACAATTTTGGAGAATCCATATTGTTAAAGCTTACTTTCAAAAGTTCTTCAGACATTACTTGCTTCAGTCTGTCAAGGTAGTGCTTTAAATCTATATCCAAATATTCAAAAACTAAATACAACTTTACATCAGTATAAATAACTCCTAGTAAATCAACTATAGAAGAGTGCCGTATGCCTTTTAGTAAACTTATTTCTCTGATTGCTGTTGATGGAACTCCTTCAGAGTCCCCACGATTCTGAAATCTGTTTTAATATTTCATTTAGTGGTATAATTGAAAGAAACAGCGACATTTACAAGCAAAGAAAATAAAATTTAAGTATAACTATTTCAAATATTTAAGTAAAATGAAAAGAAAAACAAAAAATAATGCAAATTAAAAATACATCTTTGCTTGACTTGGGAAGGGCATGATTTAGAAACCTATAGCTTTCATGAATTAAAAGAAAATTGTTAATTATCCATCTTCTTGATTCTTCCTGCAAAAAGTAAATGCTTTGTCTTTGAATTTAATACAAATTGTTGTAGGTTCATCAGCAATTCTGATAATCAGGTTAATTCCACTATTTTCTTCTTATTTGTGGTATATAAGTAATTTAATAAATTTAGGAGGTGAATTGGTGTTTTATTTCATTACTATATGGAAAGTTATTTAAAATTCTTTAGCCTAAAAGCCTATACAAACATGCAACACAGTGCAGACAATAAAAAAACAAGCAAAACAAAAAATATGTATGAATAAGGTAGGTATTAATTCTATAATTTTTTTCATTTTACTCTATTTAAAACACATAAATACACCATAAAACCAACACTTACATGAGTGAGAATCTTCCTCTTCTTGTGAAGACTTAAGCAAAGAAATAAGCTGAATCATGTGGTGCTACGTTTCTTTATATCGTAAGAACCACACAATTCCGCTTAAATCCAAGCCAAAATTTAATAATTCAAAGGGAGCTGAGTGAAACTAAATTTAAAAAAGTCAATTAAGACAAATAATCAATTACTGCAACGCTAGGAAAACATGATCTTTTTGAACACTAATACTAAAACTAACTATACTATTAACTTACAATTTTTTAAATTATAGTTAGATATTTACTTTTGAAAACCGTTAACGGTCTTTTTGATTATAAGGTACTCACTTTTCTAATTTAATCTTCTTTAAAGCTACAAACTTCCCTGTGATCTTGTTTTTGGCTTTATATACAACCCCATACGTGCCTTCTCCGGCTTTTTCAAGTTTAATAAATTGTTCGAGCTTATCCATTCTTATTTGAAGAATTTATCCGTATTCACCATAACCAACACTGTGTTTAGCGGGAAAATTTGTTGAAAGTCGATTTTCTTTCAGAAGCGCCATTATTGTTTACGAAATTGACGCTTGCGCCCTTTTAATTACAGATTTGTTTAGTCAATAAAAAAACAATGCGATGTTGCCTTTACAATCCAATGTTACTAGTTGCAACAGTTTGAAATATATATAAATATGTGTAAAAAATGTAAACACATAACAATAACGAATAAATAAAATATGGTAAATCTTACTCGTAAAAATTAAGACGATACTTTGTTTTCATGATTAAATTTACCTCAATAACGTTAAAGATATATCACAGAGAGAGAGATGGCAACGATGTGACTGTGGCCTTCATTTTGGTATTTTGGAGTACGTAGAATGTAATTTTGTGGTGTTAAAATAACGGTAGTGAGAAATAATTTCAAATAAAAGTAATTGTGTATATAGGTATAACATTACGAAATATTGATAAGGTGCAACATCCTTAATTGTACAAATTAATCAAGACTTTACAATATTTAAGGTATTTTTTGGTTACGTTTAATATGAAAGATGCTACGCCATTAAGTTTTGTCGGCGTCCCTTAATTGTCAATTTAAATTTTTTCAGGTAACAATTCAGAAAAATGGTTACAGAACAGTTTTCATTATGTTGGGATAATTTCCACAAGAACATGAGTCAAGGGATGCAATCATTACTTGAAAATGAAGATTTAGTAGATGTTACTCTTGCTGTGGAGGGTCGGTATCTTAAAGCCCATAAGATGGTACTTTCTGTATGTAGCCCCTACTTTCGGGAATTGTTCCAAAGTAATCCTTGCAAACATCCTATAGTGTTTATGAAAGATGTGAGCTATATAGCTCTAAGTGACTTACTTCAGTTCATGTATCAAGGAGAAGTACAAGTGGCACAAGAAAACTTAACTACATTCATCAAAACTGCAGAGTCCCTTCAAATTAAAGGGCTCACAGGCGATGGTGTAAGTAATTATTTATTACATTTGATTTGCCTGTGTATTTGATGCATTTTGAGTCCTTAAATCTGTCAGAATTTCTATATTTTTGAAAATTGAATTATTTAAAATGTGTTAGATATTGAGTAGAAACTTATTTTTAAATTTATTATCAAAAATAACTTTAAGCATATATTTACTATGTCTTTTTGTTTTGTTTTGTACTACTCAATAATTTCTTTCAAAGCATTACTTTCCACTTATGTTTAAATGACTGGTAAAAGGTGAAAAGCTAAATAGGTACTTCAATGAAATTAAAAAAGAAAAACACAAAAATTTTAGCTTTCAGGGTTTTTTGTTAGAAACTTTATTTAATAAATTTTTATTGGTATAGTGTAAGGAATAATTTGATCTAGTACTTTCTAATATTTATAATGTTTGTCACAGAATCTGGCACATTTTTTAAACATTCCAATTGAGAAAAAGGAAAATGAATGTATAACATAATGATTTTCTTTTCATGAAAACTAATTTTCATCATCTGACTGAAACTGGTTTATTTTTAAATTAATTAACATCTTTTATTGAAATCACATCTTTTATTGAAATCATTGTAAATAAGAACCTTAGTTCTTTTTGTTGATTCTTCTTTAATTTTAAAGTTAAGAATCCTGAATATTAATCTTTAAAGTTGAGTTTTCAAGAAATCTATTATTAGGTTATATTTGGCAGTGCATTTCAAAGTGACAATTCTCTTTCAGAATCAAAGTGAAACGGATATTGAGATAGAGCCAGATAAGCCTCCTGATACTTTTCCTAAAAAATATCGAGAGCAAGTTGAAACCCCCAAACCTGCCTTATCAAATTCACCCAGGCCGAAAAAGCCTTTGCCTGGTCCTGCATCAAAACGTCCTAAATTACAAACTAGTCTTATATCAGAATCAGGAACTTCCTCTGTTTCCACTAAATCGGAAGCATCATCTGGGGGCCCAACGACACAAGAAATAATACAGTTTAAAATGGAACCATATGAACAAAGCAATATAGAATCTGTGGAAAATCAGGAAGAGACATACGGAAGTGAAACGCTTGACGACACAGCTCAAGGAGTAGGAGATGATACAGAAGACTTTTCATTGATGGAAACTGGTGACGATGAACCACATCCAGGAACTAGCGGTGACGGCACGGGAGATGGACAAGGTATGTGAAATATTCATCTTAATTATGCAAGCCTACCAGCAATGTACACAAATGTGTATTTTCTATTTTAATTCATTTAGAACATTGTACACAAAACAAGTTCTAATTTTAAAGGAAATCAGATACATATAATAATGCTCTAGTGTATGGGGCTTGTGTGTATAGCAGTTGAAAATTTAGTTTTTGAATAATATTAGAAAAGCGTCAAAATAAAATAGAGTCGATTGATTTAAATGTGTTGCAAAATTTCATCCGACATTATTAAGCAGTTTAAAACAAGATTTGCAAATTAAAACGATAATAAAAACCATTTTTGCCTTAAAACGCTTAATTAGATATCCAGGTTATTATTATAATTTTTAATTAAATTGCAATAATTGTAACGTTAACCAATGGCAAAGAAGTTAGTGGGTTTAAATGTCTCCAGTCAGGTGTATAGTTGGTTGTATAT